ACAAGGCTCCTGTCCGTGGTACTGAAATGCCATCACCCACTAAGGTACTTGTTTTCCTACCAGGACTGTAGTCATGATTCCAATTCCCCATGTTTTCTCCTTAAAGATAAATAAATTAATTAACTAACTAACTAATTCCATGTTGGTGACCAATTTCCTAGTTTTTATAATGTTTCAGAACAAATACAACCCAGGGTTTTCTCAGCAACACACACAGGTTCACAGAGGGCTTCAATCTCCCAACAAAAAACATAAATGACCCTTCCTGTTAAGTAAGGTATTATGAGCCTTGAAGGCAGGGCCGTGTCATAGCTGTTACTGTTCTCCCTGGTGTGTCTAGCACAGAGCCGATGAGTGAATTCAAACAGTCAACGGCCTCCACCACCTTTGCCCCACTGGGAACGCCAATAAATAAGTGGGCAAGTGAACAGCTCACTCCGGGAGGACGATTCAGGGATTCCTGCGCCAGCAATGCAAAAGGCCATTTACTCACCCACATTTCCAATACAGAAAATGTCAGCATATGCACCCAAGAGGAAATGTTTTCTGAGCGTCTCAGAAGGAAATTCAGATTATTAACCACAGACAGTTCGCTTTCTAAATGGAAGCACACGAAGTCCCCAAACAAACTTTTGTAGCTGTGAAAGGATTTCTCTTCATCTGGGCGAGACTCTTTTGAAGTGTGAAATGAGCCAGATAATATTCAGCTCTTGTTCCTGAGTCACTGAATTCTCTTTTCATGAATCCAATAAGGGTCTATTAAAATAAATAAACACCCTAATGATTTAAGATAACCTCATCAGGAGGCTGAAATGGGTAAAAGGCTAACTGCAAGAGAGACTCATCAAGGGCTTTGGTGAAGGCCTGACAGGAGGTCACCTCAGCCTGAACAAAGGTGGGTGCTGGGCCTTTGGTTACAGCTCACGGTTAATTATTTTAGGCCTTGCATGTGTGAGGTACAAATGGCCTGCTTCTTTCTTTATTTCTTAAAATGGTACGCTAAGCTCCAAAGTGTATTTTCATGGGGACCAATTTTCAGCTTTCTCTAGGCATGTCCCTTGCATTTCTATGGATGTGCATGTACAGGTGGAGTCTGTGGTTGGGAGTAATGAAAATTTTATTTCAGACCAATTCCTTAAACTCTGTTAGAGAGGACTCAAGAGGGGATTTTATAAAATCTTACTGCCTCCTCATCCTAGTTACATAGTATACACATTGCTAACTAAGTGTGAAAATCTGGTATGAATTTATATAAATATGAACATACATACATGCGTACATGGGAACATGCATCTGAAAAAGTTGTCCATATCTGTCAAAAAGATGAGTGAATTGGAATTGTGCTCTTCTCCACTTAAGTAGTAGAGAGATATTATCAGTAAACTGTACTAAAATATGAAGCAGAAAACAACAAAAACATTCCCAGGCTCCGACTTCAGGTCCAAATCCTAGCATACCTATGACACAATACTATATATTCTGCAAAATGCCTCAAAAACTTTTAAGTGCATGAGGAAAAAAACCAAACACTTCAGAAAACTAGGAATGGTAGTTGTTTGTTTTTTAAAGATCAGGACTGGTTCTAAGGTGAGGCAAGCAAGTGCCGGTGCACAAAATGTGAGGGGTGTGGCTCTGAACATGCAGGCCTCCTTAGATTGTACCTCCTGGGACCTAGTTTGCCTCACCCTAGTCTTGTAGACACTGCTCTTCTTCTCCATGAAAGAAAGAAGATCAACAGTGCCTACAGGCAAGGGGTAGGAATCACTGATAGGCACCAACATTCTCCAACATTTTTAAAAGTGAGGATATTATTACTTTAACATATAATAGAGGTGTTTTTTTTTTTTTAAGATATATGCAACTAAAATGTGCCTGGGACATTTTTTAAAAGAGATATAAAAGCAAAGATTAATATGGTAACCCAGCACTGAGTGAAAAGAATGTTAGCACATATACTGAATGTGTCATAAACTCCAATAGCAAAGAGCAATAAAAGGAAAACAAACCAAATAACATATCCAGTATTTTTCTTTATGTAAAGTTATCTGTTTTTCCTTGATTTTTTTTTTTGCCTTATTTTTAGAGGACCTGCCACTGAGACCTGTATACAAGCGCTTCCTGACATAATCCACACACTGAGGAAACACACACACTTCCCAGGAATATATGCCACCAACAGGACCGTCTAAAGCTTGTCACTGTTTCAGCTCCTTTTCTGAATCCCTCTTCCCATTGTGTCCCTCAACGCTGAAGCCCTCAGGGACCATCTGGGCCCAGAACCTGCAATCTCTCTGAAATGTTCCTTCCTTTTTCTTATTTCTCACTCAAAGCTTGCCTCACACACAGTGTTAGGTTATATTCTTAACAGCTGAGGACAGCAATGGACACCAAGGAGTGAATGAGGTTTAATGGAGGGTTCATTCCTATTTTAAAAGATAGTTAATATGGAAGGGGAGGGGCCATGGTGTCTATTTGAACTGGGCCTCCCAGGTTCCATGCTCACTCCCTTTTACCAAGTTCCTAAAGAAAGGTTCCCAGATTTCACATCCAAGAGAGAATGAAGAAGCCTTGGTACCCATCAGCCTTCTCAGGCCCTCCGAGGCCTCCTGACCCCTCCAAGGAAACATACTGAAGGGAGGACAAAAAAGCAGGTAAGGAGGGAAACCTTTGCTCTCTCAGTCCTGCTGCTCGAGGAAGAGAGTATGGCCACTTCACACCGCAGCCTGGCGGGGTTAGTACCTCAGCCTAAGTCCCACTGCTAGTCATGTGCATGCATGCACCCTATGGGTAGGCAGCAAATACATGTGCAAAGTACCAAATCATGCAATTGACTTCACTAAAGATGCTTTTCATGAAGCCATAGCGGGTGCTCACAAAATGGAGTGAATGCCGTCTGTTAAAAGACCTCAGCATTGGATTTGCCCATCTCGTCAGCGATGTCCAGCGAGGCTCCCATTCACAAAGGCGAACGAGGCCACGGTCCCAAAGAAAATCAGAAAAACTTCACAGCGCGGCATTCCCACCTAAGCTCAGTCTCATCCTTCTGCATATTGGTTCCCGGCACTCCATGTCCCTCCAGACCCTACAGAAGCGGGGCTCCCGCATTCTCCGGGCGGCACCATGGATTGGTAGCGCTAAGTGTGGGCCCCTGGCACCCGCGGCTCCCCGTCAGCCACCTGAGTTATTTCTGGAGGCTGAGGGCATCGCTCTTTCCAGAAGCCATGGTGCCAAGCCAGCGGGAAGATCACAGGCGTTTTGAATCAAGTTCTCATACTGTGGTCTCCGTTCTTTCTTGAAAGCTTCTTATATAAAAAAATAAATAAATAAATAAAATAAATTAAAAAAAAAAAGGACGGAGTGAAACTTTTATATTTACGTCAAGTCACGACTTAAGGGGCAGGTTTGCAAAATCCATTGTGTAGCTTTTCTACCCGCCGCACATCTACCACATATGTCCTTTATTACCCAGTGGAAAACCATTAAATGCACAGTAGTTTTGCCAAGTGGCATTATGTATTTAACAGCTTTATTCGTTTAACAGCTCCAGCTCTCATTATATTGTGCCATGTGGTCCATGGGATTTTATGCATCTAACAGCTCAGGAAGGCTCCACCGCACCTTCTTTTCATGCATTTCCTTCCACGGTTGGACGTCAAATCTCAGCAAACGGCCTTTCAGCGGTTTCGCTGATGAGCGATAATAAGGATAATCGGGAGACATGACCACATTAACGTTGGAAAGGGAAACAAATATTTCGATCAGGTTCCTTGGTCATCTACTCCTTTCCCTTTATGAACATCTGAAAAGTAACTTAAGTCAGGTAACTGCCAAGCGACAGGTAAAAATGGCTAAGCCCCATAATTAGCCTAAATATAGCACCTAACTATATATATATATCGTTTTTTTGAAAGTTGGTTTTTAGTGAACACCTTCTTGCTTGATAGAAACACCATATTCAGTAACTTCCTTTCTTCACAGTAGGCGCGGAAGACCTGTTGGGGAGACGATGGATCTTTTCCCCTCCCATCACAGGATGGAAACATTAGTCATGGAAGGTCATGGAGGAAGTCAGGCTCAGGACCCACGGGCTCCCAGTGTGATGCGCAGCCGTCTTCGCCCCCTCCACTGTGCATTAGGTAACTGCCCACCTCGGGATAAGTAAGCAGGCACCGCCACCGGACCCGTTCTCCGGCAGGGAGGCGGTCCTCCCTTTAAAGGAATTGAAACAGACAGCGGATCCCATCCCCGGGTGCTGCTCTCAGAAATAAACCTGCAGAACCCTCCGAATCTGTCTCCCCCGGTCCTCGGAGCATCCCGCCCCACCGCCCCCGCTCTGCGCAGATCTGCACCGGAGAGGCTGCGTGTGTGTGTGTGTGTGTGTGTGTGTGTGTGTGTGTGTGTGTGTTAGAGCTCTCAGCACCCGCCCTGGCCCTCACGTGTGTTTTCTCCTGGAGAAACCACCAGATTCCACACACATAAAAGAAACAGCTGACTCCCAAGGTGTCTGCGGGGCTTGGAAAGCAGTTATTACACAAAGTCAGCCATGCCCCTGCCGGGGGTGAGGCGGGGAGACGTGGCTACAACGTGGTCTCAGCAAGATGCTGTTTTGTAGGTATCAAGTCTGGCATATATATATATATATATATATATATATATATATATATATATGAAACAGACAAAGAGACAGAGACAGAAAGAAAGAAAGAAAGAAGAACAAGAGAAAGAAAGAATCCACAGCAGTGTTTAGAATCAGTAGAGAAATCACTCAAGGTTGATTCCTTTTTAAACGATCCTTTCACCTGCAGAAGTCTGGGTTTTGACTTAGTCTCTATTTCCAACCCCAATGAGAACCGAAGCAAACCTTGGCGCCAAACTCAGAGCATGCCCGGTCCCCCTGGACTCCCGCCCGCTGCTGGGACGGGGAGCAGCTGTGTGTTTATGGGAGGGAGGAGAAGCACTCGGACCCCGCGCCAGCCTCAGCTCCGTGAACCAGCGCTCACCTGACTTTTATTGGCAGCCACCTTGGCGAACAGGGCCTGGGACACCTTGGCCCTTTTCATCTCCTGCTGGATCTCGTCGTAAATGGCAGCTGTGATGTTGACGTTGGCGCCGTCCACCTTTATGGGGAGGTCTGCTGTCGGGGTCGAGGTTTTGGCCTGCTGAGAGACCGGGAAAACAATCACTGAGAAAGCGCAGCGTGCAGCCCGGCCATCTGTGCAGAAACCACCCGAGGGTTTCCATCAGCGGATGCCAAACAGCATCAGCTACAGAGGGACACTTCCTGTCCGTTATTCTAATCGGGTTAATTGTGGTTGGAAATAATGGCGGCGCATTCCTATAGGATGGGCAGAGCCTGCACAGCCTGCTCCTGCCTCCACGCAACCCTGGGCGGCTCCCAGGGAGGATGCGCCGGGGATTGAAAAGCCATCACTTAGCTGCTGGCCACGCATGCAGTCACCCCTTGCTTTCTAAAAATGGCATGTCTCCTCGGAGGAAGGGCCAATTCTTCCATAAAAAAATAAATAAATAAATAAATAAAATGAGTAAATGCATAGCGGTCTCTAAATAATAAATTATTACTCGATTGAAAGCACTCCCCAGAGTCGCTCTCATTCTTTATTAAAGCTCCGCGCGTGTCATCCGAGTATGCACGGTTTCCCATCGTTAGCATCATTATGCTGGCCCGCCCGTCACCTAATTTCACCTAGGAAATCAGCGGGAATGAAACAAAATTTCATTTCGTGAAGCGAGGCTTCGGAATGCCTTTGATGCGGCGTTTTCATTTTCTTAAACTCATATTGTGGTTTTATGCATTCTGCAGCGCTCGTGTTAATTGAATGATTTCCCATCAGCTTTGGAGACAAATGAAGGACAATAGAGAAGGTGTCTGTGCTTCTTGGGGTTGGGGGGACCCTGAAACATTTGGTGCTTCCTGATCGAAAAGACTGTGGGCACTTTGCCCTGGTGTAATAACTGAAAGAAGCCCCGGCAATAGGAATCTGCCCTCATCCTTGGGTTCATGAGCGTAGCCAGCTGATTTAGTCTAAAGTGAGTTGTTTTTCCTTTTGTCCCCACTTACCCTTAATCCCAAACCTAGAGAGTGGCCCCCAAATCACCGCTGTCCCTCTGTGGGTGCCCTGAGCTGTCCCCACCGGCCTAGCAGTACCGGTGGGGGAAGGAGGGGGGAGACAGGGCAGGGAGTCTGGGCACTATGGGATCGTTTTCAATAGCCTCAAAGCCAGAGCGAATGTCCCAAGTTCCCAGGACGGCTTTGATTCCTAAGAGCAATCAGTGACTTTTGCCATTCCCCTTTGACCTCCCTGTCTCGTTTGTTTTTCTAATTATTACCAAAAAAATAAGAATAACTGATGCTGCACTTTTTGTGCCAAGCCCTCAAGAAAGCACTTTATTTCTGTTATCTCATTTAATTCTTCTAAAATTGCAATGACTTAGACTTTATATTCATTTTTACATTTTTATATTCATTTTTATATTCATTTTTACAAGTGATAATGAACGACAATGTTTGACCTCCTGGAAGACAGGCAAAAGCAAGTAAGACAACCATGTTCTGAATCCAAATCTTCCAGGCGCCAAAGCACGGGCTCAGAGCCGCGGTGCTAACCTGGCTCCCAAACTTCCGGGTTGTATCAATGCTGGTTTCACAGGGATCTGCTGGCCCTCAAGTTCGGAGTCTTCCTTTAAGAATCCAATTGTTACTTTTTTCAAGAAATTCCTTTCCCTTCTCAAAACTTCTAGCACTTTTCCTATTGAACACATGTTTTAGCACATTATTTCTGCCTTTCTCAACTCAGGTTTATTAGCCTCACTGACTCTCTCACCTGGCTGATCAAATCCTCTCTAAAACCCTGGGGGCTGTGTGGGTTGGGGCCCAGGACTTAAATTAGAGCAACCTGAGTTCAAATCCTAGCTCTGTCACTCGACCATGTGGCCTCAGTTTCCTCCTCTGTAAAACAGGGATAGCAATGCGAAATGGTGCAGATCCAATTTGTGCAAAATGCTCACAATACCTGATAGACAGTAAGTGCTCAATAAATAATCAGTCGTATCCTTGTATTGTTGTTTTGTTATTATTAAGCACATCAAGGGATACTGGCCAATTGAAGCCTTATGAGATGAGACTCTGGAGGTTTAATTTCAAATTTGAAACCTCTTGCCCTGGCTTAGTTGGTTGGAGCATCATCCCATCCAGAAAAGGGTCAAGGGTTCCACTCCCAGTCAGGGCACATACCCAGGTTGTGGGTTGAATTCCCCGTAGGGAGACAACCAGTCAATGTTTCTCTCTCCCTCCCTCTCTCTAAAGTCAAATATATCCTCACGTGAGGATTAAGAAAATAATAATAAAATAAATGTAAAATTCTTCAATTTATTTTAAACCAGTTGGGGTTTGGAAAATAATCAATAATCTCCATGAACTCTGTCAGGCTGACCCCCACTGCAAGGCGGCCTCCGGGGTAACCCCCTCGCACGGGTTCTCACGTGGAAGCTTCACTCCGCTCGGACCTTCACTGCGGAGGCACAACAGTAAGAATTCTGAGTGAGAAGGTAGTCACGAAATGTTGTAACAGCTTCCCCTTTCTCAATGTCTAACCAATAGGAAAACAAGAATGACGCAGAGAATGTGAAATACCGGTGCCATAGCTATAGTCTCAAAAATATTCCGAGCGAAACATTTTACATTTATTTTCCTAAATCTCAAAACTGTGACATTAAATGATTCCTTTCCCTGTTATATTGGTCCTGAGGGCCCTCTGCCTAGGAATTTTCTAGATGGGGTTCTGTGCTACTGAAAAAAGTGAAACACTGGCTCTGTGTGGCCTTGTATGCTGGTCTGGCTCTGAAAGCTCTCCGTCTGTGAGAAGAGGCCTGCGACAGTGGTGCCGGAAAAATATCCCGAAGGAGCACACAGCCCTGCGAGATTTCCTAACCAGTGGAAGTGACTTTCTGAGGAGAGGTGACCGGGTGCACAGCCAGGAAGCATGGCTGGACTGACCCATCATGCTTGAACGGACTTCAGAAGCAGCAAAAATACTAGTATTGGCAGATTTAATACAAATAAATATTAATGTAAATTAACAACTTACCTAACTCAACAGCCACTATGTCTGTCCCAAAATGGGGGCGGGGAGAGGGGAATCTTATATAAAAGCTTTGTTACACTCATCCAAAGTAAACAGTTAAGGGGGGATGAGGACAAATATGTAATACCTTAATCAAGAAAGAAATTTTTTTTAAAAAAAGAGACTTATTTTTGGTTGAACAGTCATTACATCTCATCATTCGCTAAAGACTAAAGTGTAAGTATCGCAGTTTGACAGTGCATGGATAGAAAATGACCTTCAGTTAAATATCTATTGTGGAGTGCAAACTTATGAAAGTTAGAAAATATGAAAGGAAACTGATATATATAAAAAAGCTCCAATATTTCTACTAGAATGCAATTTTGCTTGTATGCTTAATCTGTTCTTTGGAACTTACCAGAAAACAAAAGCATTAAATACACACACACACATATATTATAGTAACTAAGCTAAAAACCTTTTGATTTCAAAGCACCCATTTTTCTGATTTGTACAATGTGTGTCTGTTGACTATCTCAAGAACTAAGAGGGAATTTGCACCCAACTCCTGGCAGCAGTGGCAGGAGTTGGCTGTGTCACTAACCTAGAGAGTGCTAAAGGGTAAGGAACACAGGCCGTAGGCTGGAAAGGAGGGGGCTCAGATCTGAATGGGAAATGACTCGTGACTGACTTGACTCTGACTCTTCAGTGTGGATCTTGGCAGCCTGCAGTGACTAGCTGCCCGCATCTGCCAGAGGCACTGAGAACAGAATAGGTTACTGTGTGGAGCGAGGAGGATGGGAAGCAGAGCCCGGGAGTCCTGTGGGTCGCCTGGGAAGCAGAATAATGAAGGCCTACCTATCTATGACCATGTCCTAAGGGCTCAGTGAGTGACCCAGCCATGGGGAGGGAGCCCTGCATATGAGTGCTCCCATCATGCCAGGTCCCTCCCCATTCTGCCTTTCTCAGATCCCAGGAAGTAGAGCTTGCATCCGCGGGCACCCCCTGCCCCCAGCTACCTCACCCCATGGAATACACACGACATAAGGAAAAGCAGGGCACCGGCCACGCACACTCGGCTTCACACAAACCCCTGGATGAGGAAGCAGCTGTAGGTGGACACAGCCTGCCCCTATCCCCTCCCCCCTCCCTGCCCCCCGCCCGCCAACACCACCCCTGCTCTCCTGCTGCGGAGGAAGGATGGTTCTCCTGCTCCTAAAGGGACAGCACTGGCATAGGACAGAGCAAAGGAAGGCCGCTTCATAGGGCAGGTTCCCTATCCTCCCACCAACTCGCTCAGTGGACTCAGAATCCCTGAATTACATGTTTCCAGGGGGAGCTCTTTCCAGGGCAGAGAGAAACGGAGAGAAACGTCCGCGGGGCGCGCATCTCACCTGAGGGGTCCGGGAGGAGCTGGGGCTGCTGGAGGCCGAGGACACCATGCTCACGTTGGGGTTCATGCTCCGCTCCCGCTCGTCCTGGTAGATGCGGTCGCGCTCCACCTCGGGGAGGTTGAGGAAGTTCTGCATGGCCCGCAGGTTCACCAGGAGGGACTGCGAGGCCGTCCGCGGGTCTTCCTCCTTCCGGAGGATCTCGGACAGCAGGCCCTGATTGGATGGGAAGACAGGCCGAGTCATATCTTGGGGTGGTGGTGGGGGGAGGGGGTGTTTCTGTCTCCCATACCCACCCCCTTAGCTGTGTGGGGAAACCAGTGGGCTGTGATGTCCAGAGCCGCGGTCTAATCCCAAGGCTTCTCCGGCAGGAAGGTCTGGAGGGAAGGTGCCTGCCTCCGGGGCGCTGTGGCTTATTTTGGACCCTCCCGTCCTGACACCTTATCATCACTGTCACCTCCGTTGGGGGGCAGAGATGCCAGCTCGCCAGGTAGGCGCCCGGGAAGGGATTGCGAAGTGGCAGTTACCAGCAGGTGCCTCCTACAAGGATGGCAGGAAGTGTTAGAACTCTCTGCTTGAAATTGGGAACGCTTGGCAGTCCTGCTCTGCTTTACAAATCTGCCAAGTTTGGTATATTTAGTTCCGACATTTAAACAGCATGGGAGATTTACATCGGCTTAAAAAAAAAAAAAAAAAGTTTGGCTGAATTTCTATGTGACCGGCCACTGCTTTCAATATAGATGTTTCTTCCAGGAAAAAAAAAAAAAAAAAAAAAAAAGACACAAAGCAAATGGCTGTAACTTGCGTTAACCCCAGCTTCTCAATCCGCACACATGATAGGTGTCCTTCCGCATGTACTGGAGAGCACCCACACATTTCTATGAGATACCCTCCCGGGGAAGCTCTGAGCCCATCATCAAAAGGATGAAGTTCGCCGAAACCGGTTTGGCTCAGTGGATAGAGCATTGGCCTGCGGACTGAAAGGTCCCGGGTTCGATTCCGGTCAAACACATGTACTTTGGTTGCGGGCCCATCCCCAGTAGGAGGTGTGCAGGAGGCAGCTGATTGATGACTCTCTCTCATTGATGTTTCTAATTCTCTATCCCTCTCTCTTCCTCTCTGATCGCCGTGGTAGACTCAGACACTTTCTGAATGTGTGACAGCTTTAAAGGAAATCGGTTCTTTATGTGCTCTGGTGACAGAATTCACACACACACAGACACACACACACACACACACACACACACACATACACGGAAAAGGTTGACAAGAGTGGAGACAAGCAGCATGGATGTCATAAAAGGGCGGGGACCAGGCTGGGACGCTGCAGGACCATGGACACATGCAGAGCCACTTCCCTTCTGCACCCTCGTTAGATTATCACACAGAGGCCTCTCCTTACACCCCCAGCTACATCCGCTCTGAAGACATTGTGAGGTCAGGGCCTACGATCAGCCCCCAGGAAAAGTGGAGGGTCTAACCTCTGTATCTCAGACCAGATGGGCACCCCAAGTCATGAGATGCAGATGCCAAGGCCATTTCCACTGAGTGGAGTATTCATACAAGGCTAACATGGTCAGATCTGCACCGTATGGCTTAACTATAAATGATGCGAGAGGAATATGCCATTTCCTGGTTGGCCAGAAATCTTTAAGATAAGTTAGATGATCTTTGCAAATAAAGTAATGCCTTGTAAAACAGGGACACAAATGTCATCTCCAGGAATGGGCATCCCAACATTATCAGTTTTCCGAGAGAGTAATTACCATTCAGGAGACCAGGTAAGGCAATTTCACTATGAGGAACCTACAAGTAGTATGCATGCCAACACATAGTTCTGCAACTTGCGTGTCATGTTACTTTGATTGGAAATGTCTTTACGAATGAGAATGGCATATGCCATGCCAGGAAGCTAGAAGAAATGCTATCTAGTGTGTGTCTGTGGGCATGTGTGACCAAGAACAAGCAAGGTATGATGGGTATGGAAAACACCCTTCTGGGAACATGGTTCTAAGAAAACCCAGACTTCTTGTCATGCTTTTAGAAGCAACAAATGACACATTTGTCTTCCAGAAAATGTTACCCAATCTAAGTACTGATTCCCTTTCTAAAGCTAAGTCAGTTGTGCCTTAAGTTATTCTATGTCCACTTGTGCTAAGCAACCTAAAATATTAATAATAAATTTATTTCTGAGACAAAATATCTCCAAGAAGGAAGTGATTTAAAATCAATACTAATCTCCGATACCAATAAGACACCAAGATTGACCTTTCCTGAGCATTCATACAGGATAAGCCGGTCTCTTTCTCCTTCTCCTCCTGTTTCTTCTCTACTCCTTCTCCTCCTTTTCTCTCATAAGTGATTAAGTTTTAATATATTTCAGACTACCAAATTGGAGGAGGAATTTCTGGGTCTATATCAATGGTTCCCCACCTCTTTTTGGCCGTGCCCCACCTAAGCATCTCTAAAACCCTGGTGCTCCACTGCACCATGACATATAATTCTTATTATTCAATAAGGTGAACTCCTATTCATGTGGAGGAAGCCTAAAAGGCCATGAACTTGGCCTAAACAAGCTTCCAAAGAACATGGCATCCATGAAAGAGAAAAACAAAAGAATGAAAGGACAGTTGAAGTACTGAGGAAGGCATCACTAAGAAATTACTTTAAAAATAATAATAATATAAAGTGATACAAAAAAATAACAAATAAAGTTTCAAAAATATAATAGAGCACTAAAATGCATAAATATGTCACAATATAGATTTATATGCTGTATCTGAATGCGGTAGAGTACAGTATAGCTCAGAATTTGCACAGATAATAGTGAAATAACAAAAACTGGTGTTCTAATAGGTTAAAAATTGCTCACTTTTCATCAATTAAAAACCCCCCACACACACTCTGAAGCATAGAGTGATCTTTGTTTGTTTGCTCTCTTGGTTTCCTTTCTTTCCCACATTGAATCTGTGGAGTTCTTTCCTCTGCTTCTTTCACATATTGGACAACTTTCACATGGAAGTGAATCCATCTTTAAGAAAAACCAGACCCATGCATTCTTGCAAATGCCTATTCATCAGCATCATTTCTGGTGCCTGAGACCCCAGGGCTGGTGCCACACACTGCAGGCGCTCTTTTACTTGCCTAACTGAAGCCAACAAGGTGGCCAGCGCTGCCTCCATGCATGACCCCAGAGAATGCGAAGATTGTTCTACACTATTTACTTAAGGTCTCATCCGGGTAGCCAGGGTCCCCAAGCAGATTCTTTTCACCTGGACATTTTCTGTAACAAGTGGCTAGTGGGTGGGCCTTGGAAGAGTCTTAGGTGTTTTCTTGAGTCTTTTTCATTTTGGTTATTATAAGTTTTTAATTATTTAAAATGGAATTAAAAAAAAAAAACGAGTCCAAATTCTGTAGGCTCATAAATGCAAAAAGAGCTTGCTTATTTGGGTAGCTGAAAATCATTATTGGGAGGAAAATTAGAAGAAAATGTATGGCATAACAGATGCACCACACATTGCCCCATCTTAATTATCACGATAAGTAAATGTTGGTCACATTGGAGCCATCTTGAATAGAACATAAATTAATAATTGACCACACATAAATATTTCCAAGGCCCTCGTCACTCGATTGTCTGGCATTTTAATTACCAGCCGGCCCAGCGGAAGGTGTCACTCGGACATTGCCATTATGCAGCCTGAGATACAGAGAGTGCAGCAAGGCATCTGGACACCGGGGAGGTAAAAGTAAAAGGTGCACTTTTATGAACAGAAGGGTCATGAATATGGAAAATGTGGACATTGAGAGGCATTAATAAATTAACCAGGATACTGCTTATTAAACTTCCATATCAGTAAGCACATTAAAACGAATTGCGAGTATTGAGCAAAGTGGCCATTACATCGTTTCCTCATCGTGGGCAACAGAGCCTTCTCCAGGGAGAGCACGGAACAGCTCCTCCTGGAAGGGAGCGAGGTCACACATGACCAGGAAGCGTGTGGACTGAGAGGAGGGGAAGGATCACCTGCCCGGGAGGGAGAGGCACCAGCACAAGTAACTCCTGGGTGACAGGTTGCTGAGAAGTGAAGGGAGCTGGGGGAAAAGAAACCTCAGCGTGGCTTTCTCTGTAGCCTTTCGCAGGGACTCGGTGAGCTTCACCGTCTTCCCAGCACCAGCAAAGAATAGATGAGGTTGGCAGGAAATTCAGAGAGCAAAACAATTCAACACCCAAAATCAGAGCTAATACAATGCCATCTAGTCTGATGGCTAAGAGAGGTTATCTTTGCAGACAAAACATTCAGGCTGATTTAAAAAATTTTTTTTTAAATTATGTATTTATTATGTCTAGTATGTTAAATAATATTTATTTGTAACAAATTAAATGACTTTAATGCTTCTAAATTTGTAGTTTCTATCGACAGGCTATCTTATTTAAATGATTATGATTTCCATATTTCTTCAATAATTCACATGGTGTGCCCCAAACTGCTAGTGTGCAAAACACATGCTAATACTCAGAAATGTTAGGAAAACATTACCGTGAATGGCTCTATAGAATGCACTTGTAAGATTCTGCACTAGCCCTTGACGATCTGTCTGGGCAAATGAGAAACTGTCTTATGGGCCCTTATCCCTTTAAGACAGCAACAAGGGGACCCATACCTGGGCCAGATCTTAGAAACACTGGGCTTGAGCCCCTCAGACACGCCCCCCCCCCCCCCCCCCCGGCACTCCAGACACACCACCAACAGTCAAGGTCATTACTGACTCAATGATAACAGACAGTGTTCTTCTCAGCTCTCACATCTTCAGTAATTCTCTAGAATTAGGCTATATCCCCCATAGACTATCTGGAGAACCCCCAAATTCAATATACCTAGTGCCAAAGAATGACTGATCAACCAATTCATTAATTTCTTATTTGTGAACTGACACAAAGTTCAGAAAGGAATAAACAGATTAATTAGGACCCAGATTCTGATGCCAAGCAATTTACTATGGGATGGTTTACAGAAGCCCAATGCTAAAGATGACAGGGGACATACATTTCAGATAGAACTTCGGCCATTTCAGTGCAAGCGAGGGTGAAAGTGCTGCCAACTACAGGACTCAGGGAAAAGGTCTTGGAAGAGGTGGGATTGCACTTGGCTGGGGTTTGAAACAGGCAGAGTCCATGGATATAGAGATAACAGTGAGTCCGGGCCAAGGAAATC